CGGACTTTCAGCTCTTAACTAACTGGATTTCCCAAATTGTGTCGTTTTTGTAAGCACTCTGCACGAACCTAGTAGAAAACACCGTTTCTAGCGGATTGCATGAACTCCTTCTCTTGTCTCGTGTTATGTTGTTTGCTTTACCTGGCAACTTACATCGTCACCGCTTAATAACAAAGTCTGTACGCCAAAATATAAAAGTGACCCGATGGAGTTGGGCGAGGGGTCAGGCGGGTAAATTGCTGCTAGCCCTGGTCAGCACAGTCATTCTTGGTTACGAGTCCCTGGGGACCCATAAGTGGAGAAACTTCCCAGTTGTGGCCGTGCAGAAGAGTGCTCGCATCGGCGTTACATTGGAACCTTGGGCGTCCTCTGATGGCCTCTGGGTTTCCCCAGTATCCTAGCAACGGCTCGTCTCCAGTGTTTGCCCAGCCCCCGCAACTGTGTACACTGATTAGTGCGCTTTGTCCCGTTTGTGCAGACGCATGCGCACTACCCGCGTTGCCCCTTCGTGAACAAACAAGTAATGCATTTACATAAGAGTTTCTGAGACACGGACAGTTGCGGCCGGCTGAATGTGTGTGCACGAGGTTGAATATATGATTTTTATTTATGTATTTATTTCTGGTTTATTTAACGACGGGAGCACGCGGTAGCGCAGTTGGTTAAGGCACTATGCTACAAGCCGGAAGGTTGGGGGTTCGAGTTCCGATGAGGTGGATTTTTTCACCTGACCTAATTCTTCCAGTCGCATTATGACCCTGGGGTCGACTCAGCCTCTAACAGAAATGAGTACCAGGAATCTTGCTGGGGTTAAAGGGCGGCCGGCGCGTAAGACTGACAACCTTACCGCCATATGTGAGGTGGGCGACTGTGGTAACCATATGTACCACNCCCCCAGCAAGATTCCTGGTACTCATTTCTGTTAGAGGCTGAGTCGACCCCAGGGCTATAGTGCGACTGGAAGGATTAGGTCAGTTGAAAAAAAATCCACCTCTTCGGGACTCGAACCCGCAACCTTCCGGCTTGTAGCATAGTGCCTCAACCAACTACGCTACCGCGTGCCCCTTCTGTATGAGGTAGGAAATGAGATTTCAAATACTATTTAATTGAGCCTCAGTTTTCAGTTTCCAGTCATAGCCGTTTGCCTCACATTCCCGTTGCATTCAGGGGTAAAAACTGCGAAGAATTCAAACTTTAGAGGAAATATTTTTTTTAAACATTTTATGACAATTGTTATTTAGGATTAGAGGTTCTGACACCGGTGGTTATGAAGTGTTCTGTCTTCTGCAATGATATAGCGCCATGTACGCTATACAAGTTTCGCAGGCTCATGTCACCTCCATCTCCAGGGTCGAAGATAAGCTAGGAAGTCAGCATGAAACAGGTGGAAGCAGAGCTCTGCTTTGTCGCCTGCTTTCAAGGTGGTTTATTCTTTCGCTCATTCTTCGACCCTGAAGATGGAGGCAACATGTTCATCCGAAACGTCGGTTGACTTAATGAACTACCACAAGGCGATATATCCCAGAATACGGAACTCTTCATGGAACTGTCGTACTGTTATATCAGTGCAGTATGTTCTTAACAAATGATAGGGAACTCCCATGATGCTTTGTTTCGCGGACTGCTCGCTAGATGTCAGCATGTAACCGGCCAAATCGACACAGGTTTTCTTGGTTTTCCTGTCTCCAAGCAAACGCTGAGATGGTTCCCAAGTTGCTACTGCGTGCTTCTCTGTGCAGGCCACCAAATCCTTTTTGCAAATTATGCAACTCGTAATTTGTCAGAAAATGAAATTCGGCGTCCATTCAGAGTGGAGATGTTTTAGTCTGAATTCCTTCTTCACAACTACGTTTCGACCGCTCACTCTTATGACATCTGTGTGCCTTGTCGCTGAAATAAACTTTATTTAAAGAATTCCGATTTTTGTTTTCTTGTACGGGGTTGGTTTATTTGGACATCCCTGCGAGGCGAGTCTTCAGCTCGGTGATTCCCCGCGCTGTGGCCATCAGAACAAATGAACTGCATCCAGATCAACTGGGTGTACGGATAAGGCGTGGCTATTTCTGTTCGAACAGAACAGAACACTCAACTGTGAGCTGAATTTTTCATACTTCGATCCGGAATAGCGAGGGTTCTGGGCACCGAAATGTTGACCTCACGAAGCTAAGACAAGAACAAGGAAGAAATCTGACGTAGGTGAAAGGGAAGTCGGGCGCTTTCGGGGGCGTGAAGTGTATGCGTTTTGTTGCATTTTCTCCATCTTTATTAAATAACTGCAGTAAAAGAGAATGTGAAAATACATTACATTTAACAGTGAGAAGAAGGCTTCAGGCAACGGAAACACTCTGCGTTTCCATGACAACGATCACACCGTTAATGTTGAATCAAAATCTGTTTTTGTTATGACAATCATACGACACACATAAATGGGTAAAAGCGAAAAGAGGTGTAGGTGTTAAATCAGATGGCGGATAAGTTTTCACTGTGTCTAGAGCAAAGCCTCATCAGCAGTTGGTGACGTAAGTCGTTACGTCATAGTAGGAGGGCAGACAGAGTCGCCACAGCAGGAAACACGTGATGGGACTTTATGTTCCGTAAAGTTGGCTGCCCAATTCAGAGATGTGTCAGGCGGTCGAGTTCTGTAAGCGATGTATACAGCTAGAGAAGATGACAGTCGCTCATTTGCTCAAGAAATTTTCCTGTCTTAGACCTACGCCAAACCCGAATGTTCGTCGCAGTGTTCACAAAACCCCTGCCATTGGTCCATTTCTTGAGCCAGATAAATCCAGTCCAGCCTATCTCTCACATCCGATTCGCTTGTCATCGATTAAATTATTACCCTCCGGTCTCTGTCATGGTCTACCAAATATCCTCCTCATATTATGTTTTATGCCGAGATACTGACTGCATTTCTTGTATCTTGCTGCAGTAAATCAGTGACGCGCATCTTGTTTACCGACCAGGGTTATTTGCACTGATGGGAAACAGGAACACGTTACAATATCATGTCACGACCCACGGTCAGTCCGCCAATCGCCAATCTGTCTAGGTGTCAAATCCCAATCTGGGGAGCCCTCTCTGTCTGACGAGAGGATGGATCTGTCGTTTACAATTGCTGATGGCCCTCGCCAGCTCAGCCAATCTCGGCTCCGAGTCCTCTTGACTCATGCCCACATTTTACGGTCTCAGATTCGAGACTCCCCCAACCTGGAGGGCAAGGTCCTCGTATATATATCCCCCAGGAACAGGGTGGCCCAGTTATATATACCCCAAGGCACCGGGTTCACTTTTCGTCGCCTCCGACTGTCAGGGCTACTGTGGGCGTATTCAGCCCCGCCTCCACGCTCTTTTACACTGAAGGTTAATATAAATCCTGTCCGTACCTCGCAGGAAACACGCTGTCACCTAACAACAATGTGCTGCGTTCAAGATGTAAATAGTTCTAGTAGTACAAACAGGAAGTAGCGCTGTGCTTCAAGGGGATAGTTAAAGGCATTTACTAATGGCGTAATGTTGGGGCACATAATGCGATTACGACCATATGTTCAGTCACAATGCAGGCTTCTGTCTTCTGTCCTCAAACCGGTTTGCCTTCTGTCTTCACAAAGTCCTGCCTGTAACTTACAGGCAATGACTTACACCTAGTGACGGATTATGGCTTCTGCTACACGTGTTCTCTTTCATCTTATTATTTTCGTTGTTAGAAGATTATTCTTTGTCTTACGTAAGCCATGTTTTATCTTAATGTTATGTAACTGTGGTCAGTTCGTCCAATTCGTGCGCCGTAGTGTTTAAGGTAATTTTCTTTCAACACTTCCACGTAAAACTAATAGCAGTAGCATTTCACAAGATGGCCTCTTTCTTTGTTTTTTTTTTTTTTTGTACGCCATAGGCAAGGTCCGTCCCAGTCCTTCAACAACTGCGCATGCTCACGCTTGACTCCACTGCTTTACCTTAGAAACGACACCACTGTTGGTTGCTAGGAGATTTACTAATAGCAGTAGCATTTCACAAGATGGCCTCTTTCTTTGTTTTTTTTTTGTACGCCATAGGCAAGGTCCGTCCCAGTCCTTCAACAACTGCGCATGCTCACGCTTGACTCCACTGCTTTACCTTAGAAACGACACCACTGTTGGTTGCTAGGAGATTTACGCGCTTCTTTAACATTTGGACGCCTAGTGCGCCTGCCGTTATTTTGCTGAAGATGCCCCGCATGTAGGTTTAGTTAGGCAAGGTGCTGTGCGTAAATTACTGATATGTGTAATACAATATCGTTTTGTGGCCCGTCTAAAGGGTCCTTTTTGGAGCAAAAATGTTCATGTTTAACTGGCGTCTTCCTATGATGGATAAATTTTCCAGTATCGAACATAAATGCAATCCGAGCCACCGTTCGGACGCTAGCGAGAGGCACATACATACATACATACATACATACATACATACATACATACATACATAGTGCAAACTCACAGGCAGACGGGTGAAAGGTAAGATTGTCCTCATGCTTAATGAAGAGCCGCACCCTGAAGATGTATGAGGTAGTGGAGGTATAACTCCACCGTTCTCGTCCTCGGCACAAGATGGAGGTGAGTGGTTAGCTTCACGCCCCGCCCACTTTTTCCTTCCAGGGTAGGAGGTCTGGGGGACAGCCATTCTGGACGCTATGAAGGAGAGAAAGATCTCGCGCCTTTCGGGAATTGAACCCCTGCTGTTCAGCCGTAACCCATCACTATACCGACTTAGCTATCCAAACGGCTTAAAAAAAACACTTCCTCATTTCATGGGAGTGCTCATAACGTGTAAATCCTTCACAGTCTCGAGAAGTAACCCGCGGGCCTGTCTTCCTGTCTCTGTGGTTTTGGTGTGTGGATGCTTCTAGTGACGGGCTGTTGTGAATGCTGTAACGAACCTTCAGGGCTGCCACAAAAGGCGCTGATTTTCGTGAATACCCAAACAAATAAAATATTGAAGAAAGTCGTCTTCTGGGTTTTGGNAGAAAATGACACGTATTCAAATGACGTATGAAACTCGATATCCGGTTCGTATTTAAAGGGGGAGGTTTCATTCCTTTCGCACTGCTTACTTGAATCGGGGGCAGCTTCAATGCACCATATGGGGCACAAAGTCAATGCTGCCATCTGTAGGGTAGTGCTCAAGGCACGCGTGATGCTGTGGGTTTGGGCATGGTGGCCAAGACGACGTGTATCGCTCATATGAACTGCCGTTGTGGCTAATGGAATGTTTCAAGTAGTTGGATCCATACTTGTTCCAGGCGTACAAACCGGGGTTAGCAACCCCCCTCACCCAGGCCCCTAACATGTATACCCTGGTGGGCACCTCTCTCACGTCCGCCGGAAGGAAGATGCCTGTCAGTGTGTCTGCGCCCCACATTTCTATGTTGACTTCAGGTGTCCACACCTGGAAGTATCCCTTTCCTTCAGGGTTAAACGCTTTTAGTTTCAGACCTTTATTGTTGAAAATCTTCTGTTTTTTGAAGAATGTTGCATACTCTCTGGCGTCGAAACGAATGGCAGCATCCGTGGCCCAAGGCAGATGCGTTCTGAGTGTCACCGCCCCCAGAATCGAACCGGATGCCAGTTCATATCCGATACCATACCTGGATGCGAACTCGTCCACAGTTTTCCACGCCCGCGCCATTTGAACCAAGCAGCAGGACGGCATCAGATGTTCTTTGAGCCTTTTGGACGTTTCGCAAGACAATCCAACTTCTTTGCACGAGAACAAGTATACAACATTTGGAGGCACGAATATTCTATGCACTTCCCACTGTTTCGCTAGCTTCAGCCACGAACTTTGTGGCTGATCATTAAAATTACCACGTCCCTGTGTGAAGTACATCGCGTCTGGACAGTTTACCCCGAGGATGCCGGCTTGCTTGAGGCGCAGAAACCAATCGTTGAAGAGGATATCCTCTGGCAGTTCTCGGTTCAACTTCACATCCCTCATTACAATTGTCCTCGCCACAAAGGGACCTTCTAGGTGATCACAAAACATGCATCCGCTTGCGGAATGCTTATAGCCTTCAGTAATCCTCAAGAAATAGTTCTTGATGTCCGTCTGGTAGCACCCGACCTTCCAGTGTCCTGTCAAGTTCCTGTGCGCACCACCTGCAACTCCGATAGCGCCCGACGCTGCAATCATATGAATCTGTCGTTCTAACCTAGAATACGCGTTGAAATGCGACAAGTCTCGAGCAATGAGCACATAAGGAGTCGTCACTTCTTCGATAAGGAGATTCCATATTACTCCTGGCGTCTGTACGAGTCGCGGTTCGACAGATATTAACCGGATATTCCCGTGATTTCTTGCGGGAGAGAATGTTTTCTTCCAGTACGATGATGCATTCGGACTGACATCAGCCACGAGGACGGGAACAAACGGATGATAACCACGGATACCGTCCAAAAGAACCTGTAGTCTTTCTGTAAACATTTTAGAATCGACATTGTTGACGAGGATGGTGATGAGCTCGCTGATTGGTCGCTTGCTTTCTGCACCTGTGCACAGCAGAGGCTCGTTTTGTTGGTAGAGCTGGTGATCTCCTCTTGTGTTGTCCGTGTCGTTGCAAGCGTCGGTGTGTTTACCTCCCGAGGATGTCAGGGCCTGAGAGTTGCTGATTGAGACGCGAGGGTCCAACTGGCCGGCAATGGTGTTCAGTCTCAGGAGAATTCGCGGATCGACTTTGCATTCGCTGCCTGTAAGACGAAACATGAACAGTTCACATTGTAAAAATGTTGAAACATGGGAATCTGCACAATTTTACATCGGGATGGGAAACCTGGTCTCTGACATTAAGGGAGGAACATAGACTGAGGGTGTTTGAGAACAGGGTGATGAGGAGTTTTATAACTGGTACTCTTCGCCAAGTATAATTCGAGGATGAGATAGGCATGGCATGGAGCACGCATGGCGGAGAAGAATGAATATAAGATATTGGTGGGAAAGCCAGAACGTAAGAGACCACTAGAAGACCAAGACGTAGGTGGGCGAATAAAATTAAAATGGATCTTGTGGAGATAGGCTGGGTTGGCATGGATTGGATTGATCTGGCTCAGGATAGGGGCCAGTGGAGGGCTCTTGTGAAAGCGGTAATGAACCTTCGGGAAGCTCTTGAGTAGATGCACAAGAGGGGGTGAGCTCCACGAAGTTAATTACTTAGTTTTTATGTCTGTGAAACGTGATTTCTGGTCGACTTAAGACTTTGTATTAAGACAGGGAGCTGATGGGAACACTTGGACGTAGGGCTGATGACCAAAATTCGTTATTTGTGATCTCCAGGTACGTTTCGAAGTTATGAAAACAGTGAAGAAGAGATGGGGAGATTGTTACACTCAAGGGAGACAACGGAAATGCATAGAAAATTTTCGTGGTGAATTCTGAAACGACGATACAGCTTGGGGTCCTAGGCGTAGGTTGTAATTAAATTGATTATAAAGAAACTGAATTAGAGGGTGTGGCCTGAATGGGATTGCTTTGCATCAAGATACTGACAGGCTTTATTCAACACGAGTTCCACACGGTCGCAGTATCGCTAAATTTTCACAATGAACTCTTTGTGTTTGTTGACGCACCCTCAGTCTATCCCTTTATAGCACAGAAGTAGCTATGCACACCACTATACTGAATCTACTGCTCACATACTCTGATTAACTGTTCCTTATGCTGCATGGAATAAACAGCAATTATTTTCGTATACATCTTTAACTGGGTTGTTGGTTTTATAATGGAGACGTAATGTGTTTTTTGCGAGATAGGTACTAAATTTTGAATTATAATGTAACAGATTTGATCAAGACATTGCCAGGCAACAGCCCAATAAGCACCCCACCATACGCGCGCGCCACAATAGAACAAATGTTATAGCTCCTTATTATGCAGCAGTCAGTGCGCCATTGGACTGGCGAGGTAGCAATCACGTGACTTGTGTTTCTGTGTGGTCCGTGCGGAGCCTATGTAAGAGGACGAGTGCAATTGAGAGAATCAGACTGGCGAGTTTAAGTCGGCCTGTGAAGACTTTGTGTGTACTGTAGTGCAATGATAATTGGGAGTGTGTAATTGGGACGTTTATAGTTCTGCGTAAAATCCGTTGCCAGGAAACGGATAGTGAAAACACTCTCAAGGCTTAGCCACAGATGAGATCTGTTGCCTAGCAACGACTATTGCTCTATTTTGTGTTGTAATTATCGTAATCCTGAGAGTGTAAGAACTGATTGTAGTTACGACTTGCGAATACCCAAGAAACCGATTCTCCAATCCAAACCCTCGCCTGTAGTCACTAACACACGTGACAATAATTTAGACCAGTGACTCTCAGCCTTTCGCATCTCGTGTCCCGCCACCGCTCGTTGCGTCAGAGAACCGCGGTCTCGCCATAGTTACAAGAGAATTTTGAAATTACGAAAATTTTAATATTATATTAATCATTATTGGAAGCAAAAGAGTTTTTTGATTGTACATAACAGTTTATGTATTACTAACGATATCAAGGACATGAAATGGAGTGGAGGTATAGCTCCACCATTCCTAACCTCGGCATTAGATGGAGATGAGTGATCAGCGTCACGCCCTGGCCGCTTTATCCTTTGGGAGAAAAACCCCGGTGCACATTGGGTGGGCCCCAAGCCGGTCTGAACGCTATGGAGAAAGGGAAAACCGCCTATCCCTGTTGAAAATCAACGCCCAGCTCGGTAGTCTGTCGCTATACCGACTGAGCCACACCGTCCCCTAATATTACATAAGACAATTTTAGTTCTTTATTATTTGAGATTCTCACAGCAGTGGTTATGAAGAGGGCTGAAGATGACGGCATCATTTCCTCCGAAACGTCGATTGACATCTGTTCGCAGAAATACTGTTAAGGTGCAACGATGATAACCTAGTGCTCAGAATGCAGGAAGTTTTTGCATAGGTGACTTTTTGTGTGGCTAAAATAATAGTTATTTACCAGACCTTACGTCCACCTAACATACCACCACATGCCACCAGTGGGTCGCTTCCCACCTGTTGAGAAACACTGATTTAGTTTTATTTTAGTCTTCAAGTCATTCAACACCCAATATCAGGAGAATCAATCAGTAATGTAAAATGTACATAGTAATGAGACCCACAGTATACTGAGACTTTAGATTGGCTGTGCAGCATGATGGGATATCGCGAGGTTCGGAGGAGACACATTTACCTCCAAAATCCCTGGACGTGTCCCATACGAACGCAGGGATCATCTACACGTAATTCGATCATCCGCGCTCGTTACGACAGAGTTGGGGTTGTGTAATAATTTATGGAGAATGTACAAAGATAGCAGCACATACTTCTGAGTGCTGTGGATATGTCAGCTATTTGTGCTGCAATCTCGCGGTGGTGACTGACACCATCTTGAGTCGGCTTCAGAATCCTTCTCAGTATAACATCTCCCGATTGTGTACCTGAAAAGCGGAAGCCATTTCATATCAGTTTCATAATGTCTTGTAATCGATTATGAGCATTTTAATGAGCCTGTGAAGGATTAAATCATTAGCGCATGCGCAGAACACCAATGCATGCAATTGATTTTAGGTTCACACGATGAATTTCTCTTGATTGTAACGTCGTGTAAAACTAGGAGGGAGCCCTACATTTCGGAGGAAAACGCGCCTCCATTTTCAGGGCCGAAGGCTAAGCCAACCGAGAAACCGACGTGCTGGTTTCTGGCTTTGCTTCTTTTCTGTCAATGAAGCGAATGCCATGTAATCCTCCGAAACGTCTTGCTCTCTCCTGTCTTCATGGCGTTACAATCTATAGGGCCGTAATCTTAATTACGATTTTTGTGCATACAGACATTTCGAAGGAGCTCAGTGATTCCATTTTCAGAGAGGAAGACAGCCAAAGGAAGCGGCAAGGAAAATTGTTCTGCTTTCCGTTTGCTACCCTTAGTCTTCGAACATGAAAAGGGAAACAGCAGGTTCCTTCGAAACATCGAGGCTACGCGAAACCACATATCAGGAAATAGTACTGATCAGTGAACTTCGGTACAGTTTACCTGCGAAGAAAGAGTAGCCAGTGATGACGACAGCCAAGATGGCGCAGGAGTACGCCTTGAGGAGGCACAGGGAGTTGGAGCCCTTCCGCATGGTCCACGCGGCCCCTGCTGCCGCTGCTCACCTCCAGTGTGCGCCACTGAAACCGGGGTAGACAGTTACGCTCACACTCTGAGGTTCACCAAGGGGACCGCTTTCCTATGCTCTCCTATGTTCAAGCATATGCACCCAACCTCCTACTTGAATATTTAAACCAGAAATTCTGGCAACAACTAATCTCGTACTTTCCTTACATACTACACGGACCGCATAGAAAACGACGCGACCAACAATTAGTCTAATGTTGCATGTATTTATTGCAGCGGTAACGTTTTACCGAGCCGTTGTGTAGCAAACGATTCAGGGATATACAGAAACATATACTGATGAGCGGGATTTATGAAGTGCGCCGTTGAGATGGGCTCAGGTGCCATGATGGACATACCAAATTTCATAAACACTGTTTCAGGCATTTTAATATTGGTAAGGGGATACACGGACAGCAGGATGGTCTCATAAGCCTACCTCTTATTTTTCAAAATAAGGAAAATAACCTGCGAACTGTCTTCTGGAATATAAACGTCGTAATTTCTGTTGAGAGCGAGCCAGCGTTTCAGAGGAACGTGACACCTCCAGCTTAAGGATTGAAGAATAAGCCAAGCATGAAGGAGGAAGCAAACAAGTAGCATACTGCTCTCTTTCTTGGCTTAGACTTCAATCCTGAAGATGGAGTCGACATGGTCCTACGAAACAATCTCATGTGGAAGCAATGCAGACCAGAACTCCTCTCGCAAGCTGATCAGCGTGTTCCCTGCGAATTGGCCTTGTAAGCGTGGAAGCGTTATGGCACCACAGCGCCATGATAGATCGCTGCATCGCTGGCCGCAGGTGGTACCCACTGTGGCGTCATGTGGATCTGCCAACAGTATTCTCTCTGTCGTCAGATGTCGTCTATTTCCCGAAAAATCTGATGCAGTTCTTAACTTTCTCTCATTTTATGCCAGTCGCAAGATGCTTATAATGTTATTTATATTTATTTGTCACAAAGATATTAATTTAGGTTAATATTATTTAAAAATCAGCTCCTCCCTCACAGAGTAACCATCGTCTAGTGCCTAGGTGAAGAATTGTGGAGCTATATCTCTACTTTCCCCATACATCTTCATAGCGTGATGCTTAATTAAGCACATGGAAAACTTTACCTTGATATTATTAATAAAATATAAAATATCATGTTAAGAGCTTCCAATAATGATTAGTAAAACATTAAATGTACGTAATTTATGCATCTAATCTGAAACTGAAGTTAGTCGCTTGAACGATCGTTGTAGGTCTGACCGCCGCTAAGAGTAAGTTTCATGTATTCGTTTATTCTATGGTTGTGTTGTCCTGTGTAGGTAGCCGCCATGCGTTGGGCTGATCCGTCATCCAAGGAGTCATACCGATTGTCTAAGATTAAGAAACTGAAGTGAAACAACCCATTTTACGGATGGATACCCTCTGCTCCAAGTGGGAGCAACAGGAATACAGGGTGATTCAGAAAGGTGGACACAATTTCAATTGGCTATATTTCCTGAATTATATTGTAACGTGTTTGCGTTACTGATCCCACTTCTGACACCAATGTAACGTGTTTACGTTACTGATCCCATTTCTGACACCAATGTAACGTGTTTTGCGTTACCGAAGACGCCGNATTCCTGAATTATATGTTGTATTTGATTTCTGTAAATTACATTTGATTATACATACATGGAAGTTTATAGATGTTCAGTGTGCCCCCCTCCGGCTGCACGGATAACATCTAGACGGTAGCTGAATTCATCCCGCACTCGATGACAAATATCTTGCGTCACTGAGTTCACCGCAGCTGTGATACGGTTTCTTAGGTCATTCA